TGCTGGCTTGGTTTGGGTCCACTTGTCCCCTTAAAGGGAAGTGGTCACTGCAAATCAATACAAAGTTGTTCCGAGTGATCTCCTTTATCAATGCAGAGGCGCTCTGAAGCTGTTTTCGCTGCCCAAAAAATCATTGTCATTGCAGCTTTATCCGAGTAGCAGTGACAGATCAGAAAAACAGTGATAGGAATTGCTTTTATAATGGTCATAAACTGTTTTTGAAGACACTTACACAACAACTTATAAAGAGTTGCTTTTTTGTAAGGAAAAGTTGTACATTGATAGCAATGTTTAAAGAGTGTAATTAGCCACCAACATATTTCTAATAAGCTGTACATTGGCAGTTTGTACAAAGACAGCAGATAGAGAGAGTGGGTCACGTTCACTTTTGTGAATGAGATGAATCTGTATCTTTTATTCAAATCAGATAAAGCTATGGAAATGCTTAATCAGACTATTTTATTATTATATATTAATTCAGATCATAACATCACATGCAACAAATGCTGTAGCAAAATTAGATTATATTTATAAAGATAGAAAGGTCAACACAATACTAGAATTAAGAATTCAGCTCTCCATGTCCTGCATGTCTCTGTAGAAGTTGTCATATAGTCAATAAGCGCTCAAGGAGCTGTTCCTGTAAGGTGATTTTTTTTAATGGGTCCGTTAAGTTTAGTTGACTCTATCCTGTCCTTCCGCCTGTTATTATGCCTTACTAATATATCCCCTAGTTGTGCTGCAGAGTGATGAGGTCTGCAGGGTAATGATTCACTCTTTTTTCCACAAGATTGTTGTACCAAGTATTGTACTATATTGTTCTATCACTTGGCAGTAAGCTGGAGCCCATAAAGATGAAGATAATGAGAAAAAGCATGACCCAGTGAGTCTGCCTGGATTGTTGAATTTGATAAGTCCTCACTCAACAGTTATAGTCCTAACTGCCTTCATGTAAAATAAAAAACTTATGAATGAGGTGCATAAAAAAGGAGAACTTTTTCTCAATTCACCATTTAGAAAGTGCGTTTCACAATTGTATCTTTTTTTTTGTGAAGCTAATCACACTGCGTATGCTTCCTTCCTCATTTTGATCATCACTTCTGCTTTTCATTGACAAGGAATTTCAGTGTATTAATCAGAAACACCATATCCAGTAAAGCTGTGCCCTCATAATGCGATATGAGCTAACATGGCTTACAGTCCACTCTATAAAGCTATGTTTTATTTTTTATGTGCAGTTTTTTATATTATTATATCATGTAAATATTAAGTCACTGATGATTTTATGAAGAGTGGAAGCATATGTCGTTCTTAATTTTGAATTCCAGATTTGATTATGTTATCATCAAGCATGTTAATTACACATAAAGTAAAAATAGTCATTATGCAACAAATGCAACTTTTGAAATGGCAAAGGTGAGGATGATGAGGAAATCAGAGTATGGGTCGGTGCTGATTGTCTGAAGCCTTCCTGTTTAAAGATCATAGTACTGTTTGAGACCTTGATAACGCTTGTTGATTGATAACAATGACAGTGATTCCTCCGACCAGGTGCTGAGATTTATGGATGTTAAAACTATATTTCACAATAATGGATTGTTTTAACTAAGCTTTTTTCTTACAATGACTCTTTGCAGACACCACGTTCAACTCTGCAAGCTTCTGCAAAACAAAATAAAAAATACTGTAGTGTCTTTTCAAGATGTCAGCAGGGCATGGGCTTTCTCAGAAATTAAGCTTTTTTTGGATCAAGGGAAAGCCTGAGATCATGAGTTCTGCTTTGTTGCTATCAAAACTCAGTGACACAATTCTCAAGTTTGCTGCCATTTTGATGCCATTTATCACTGTGAATTAACACCCGTATTATGTTTGGTAGGGAAAAAAGATCATTGTGACCTGAAAAGAGGTTGTTAGTAATAATTTACGAATGAATTGGCCGATTCCAGATTTCACACGTGTCAACTGGGGCAACACAATGAGTAAACAATAACTAGCACAGTACAGGTTTTCATCTTTCCTCGTCATCCATTCTGCCTCATTCTGAATTCCAAGCGCTGGGACGTTATCGGAGTCACGTGAACTACAAACAACGTATAGTTAATCATTATCCTGTGAGTGAGTGAGTTTAACCCACAGCTCATAGAGACGCTTTGTATCTAAACATTCAAGAAGAAATCAAAAGCACCACTTTTTAGCTATACTATACTATTGATTCTTATGCACCAAGGCAAATTCCTCGTATGTGTAAACTTACCTGGCAATAAACCCGATTCTGATTTGGATTTGGATTCTGATTCTGATCTTTACACATTAATCATGTATGTGCATGCCTGTTTAGCAAATACATCTATGATAATCCTTCATTAATCAGTTCAAAAATGTGGTCATGTGGAGGTGAGGTGCCAGAGACTTGTTGGTGCAGATGAGATTCAGTAATGCAATTCAAACTGGTCATTTTGTGCAGGGCAGTATGACCATAAATTTGTATCACAGTATTTTGTAAGATTCTCACTGGGCCTTTATATAGGTTTATAGTGTTTATAGTTAATAGTTGCAGATGTAATGGAAAAACTGGGATGAAGAAGAAACACTTCCTCATGAAGGTTTCAGGAGACCTTGATGACTTATGCAGTAGAGGAATTTTTGAGGCTCGGCCGAGGAGAATAAGATCAGCAAAACAAGTGAAGCACGGTCCAATGCCAACCCAAATCTGAAGGTTCCCTCCTGTCGAGGGATATCTAACACAACAACAAACCTAGACCCACAAGATTTACTAGTGTCCCAAATATGGTCATAACAACGCTTTAAGGAGACAGTCTGTCTGTCTGTTAGATTGTTCTTCTTCCATAACAAGGTAGTGTTGGTGTTCAACCATATCAGCTGATCTAGTGTAGTCAGCCAAACAGTCAGAGAGGATGCCAAAGAAACAAAGAAGGTTTGTAGATGACTTCAAAGTGGCATGGAGAGCATTATAACATTTCTGTCTACCGTAAAGAAGGAAAATTTCTTAACAGCAGAATGTAAACAATTTTTATTGTGCAAACGGCAAAGTAGTGAAAACAGAACTTAAAAATAAAAAGATAAAGTTGCTAACAACTTTAACACAGCTTACTTTTCAAAACCAAATATTTGTATGCATAAACGCTATAAACATAGACATAAAATACTAAGTATTCAAAGAGATATTCCTTAAATGTTACACAAGAAACAAATGTATTACAGCAGTTGTTTCAGCTAGCCATTCGGTATATCGCCTAACACTACTGGTCATATATAGTCACAGTATGCCAACAACACAGATTACTTTAAAAAAACAAATATTTTGAAATAGATATAAAATAATATAAATTGACATAAAATACTCATGTATTCAAAGTAATGTTTCTTAAATGTTACACAGGAAACAAAGCTTTTACAGCAGCAGCCATCCAGTATATCGCCCCGCATTACTGGTCATAGATGGAGGTTACTTATATATAGCATTATATTAATGTATGAATCATTATTTATGAATATAAAAGCCAGACAGAGCAAATTAATTCGCTTTTTTAACCAACTCGTGTCTTGTGGGACGTAACTGGCAGCTTTGGTTCACTGGCAAGGAACCTGATTATTACTCTTTTTGGCAGTTATTTCACTAGCAGCTTTGTATTAAGCCGCAAGTAAACTGAAGTGAAAAAACCCTTCCCCGCTTAGTTTGTGGTAAATCAGATATTCAGTATATAGAGGAATACATTTCCACTTGCAAAGTAAGTATCTTTTATACTGAATTGTCTGAATTGTCTAAATCTAAGCTCCCCTCAAACAAGTTGAGACTTGTTACTTGAGCATGAAAGGGCAAATGACCAAATTTGGGTGGAGGATGCTCGGAAATTTGCGGTGGAAAGCCTTAGGTTCTCCTTCCTTCCCCTTTTGTGGTCCTGCACTGACAATTACAGCCAGCACCAGAGAAAGAGGAGGGACAGAGAGAAAAATATGACACATTGGGTAGAGTGACCAGCACATGATGTTGCCTTTACATTATTGCTGTAATCAGCAGGATTTATACCTAAATGCAATCATTTGAAATAGTTAACTTGCCAGGTTAATAAAGAACAACACTGTTAATACAGTATAATATGAATACCCATGTGTTTATCCGTTGTCTATTCTTACCATACTTAGTGGAGTGCATTCAAGTATGCATTGTGTGGGAAGCTGGGAACACCCTGGACCCGATGCCATCATTTATAGAAAGCTTGATACATAAGCTAGGTTTCCATCCAAATGTAGCACATATTAAAAAAAAAAGAAAATAAGAAAATTTTGCATACTTCAGTCCACTACTGTTATTTGATTATTAGGAGTTGGTCAATTGAGATAAGCAACTGGTTGCACTAATCTTCCAGTCAGGTGCCATTAAACCACTGCAAAAGCATAGGCTGCAACAAGATGACGTAATTAAACTAGCGCCAGTCAAACCTAAAATGGCTATAAATGATGTATACAACACAATGGAAATGGCATTTATGTTTGTTTCATGTATTCATTTTAGAAATGTTACAATTTCCTTATCATGCAACAAAAGTCACATGCTTCTAAGTCTGATTCTATTGCACGTTGTTGCATCACAGATTATTTCAAATTGTTGGCATTTCAAACGGAATACATTTAAGAATATTAAACATTGGATTAACCTGCTGGAAATCTACTATATTAGAAGATTAAGGCAGGTTTATTAGTTTGTTATTAATGTATTCAATTAAATTAATAAAAGTAATAGAAAAACTAATAAAAGGGAGTCCTTAGGAATGACCATCATATCAGTAGATTTCTGAGTCAGCTCAGTCAATGTCATGATGAAATCACAAAAAAGGAATAGACAGATTACAGCGTCACCCAAGTGCGTCCTTTCCCCCACCCTAAATCCCACACACACTATGTAGAAAGTCCTAAGAGACAGTTCATCCGGTCAGTTTGTCTTGGTTCCTCTTTTCATCATATAAAACCGAGAAGTCTGGTCCAAGGAGCCAGTCATCTCCATCTGCCAGATCAAACAATCATCTCTTTTGCAAAGAACCTCTGGAACATCTCCCACAATAACCATGCAGCTGTGCATCAGAAGACTGGCATGCCTGGCTCTCCTGGTCGGGGTTCTTGCAATGGCAGCAATGGCTACTGGTAAGTTGCCTCTCAGAGATCCTGCATCATATTACACTGCTAGCCTGCTCCAGTCCACATAAGAACTTTTACCCTGCTATGCACATTTGAACAATGAAAGAGATGTATGCTCATAACAACCAATCTTTGCTTGTTTCTCTGAAAAACAGAAATAAAGGTAGGCAAGTGCTGCACTGAGGTCAGTGTCAAGAACGTCACTTCCACCATCTTGGGCTACAGAATCCAGAGGAGGAACCTTCCATGTGTCCGCGCTGTCATGTAAGAATCACCATCTTATTTTATTAAACAGAGGCTGCGTTTCATTAGTCGTTCAAAGCGCCCTCATTCACTTGCCCTCTGCACTTGCCCCCGGGGGAATCCCCGCCGCCATCATAAGTGTCGTTCCAGTTGTCTGGAAAACTGAAGTGAACTTGGTGAGATGGACCCTCGGAGGGCTGAGGGAGTGAGTGAACAACGATGGTCCCTCCGAGGTGGATATCACCCACAATGCATTGCAGTTTACGTCATTGCCGCTATAATGCCGAGTAAGGGCAAGGGTGTTTCATTTAAAACCCCCGCTCCTACCCTGCCCACTTTCCCTCCGCGCTCCAAGTGGCCTCCATGCGACGTATGCTGTTACGTCATACCAAGGGCTGAGGGTAAGTGAACGAGGGGAAGTGGAACTACTAATTAAACGCAGCCAAAGAGTGATAATCTAACCTGTTACACAGTTGACAATCCAAGTTCTCGGTTTGGAGATTGTGATTGAGCTTTTCTTTTTTATTCCACCCAGATTTGAGACCACAGAGGGAGAGGTCTGCAGCCACTGGAAACAGGACTGGGTGTTTACCAAGATCATGGAGCTAGAGTAAGTAGGCCTTTGTCATCTCAGTCAGTATTGACCATCTTTGCTAGTTGGCTGGCTCAGACATTACGTATTATTTTATTCTCAGGGACAGCATAAACTGTTATTTAAACAATTTCTTCTTTGTGTGTTTTACAGGAAGGCCCGCAAAGCAAAGAGTGCTACTACTGCTTCTTCCACTTCTGCAAGCTCTTAGAAAGCACCACTCACCCCCATGAATGCCTATAGCCAATTGCACTGCATTAAGTTAAAATATTTAAAATGCTTTAAAATGCTTTCCTATGTTATTCTGTACTATTTAATATTTATTCCATGTCCTATTTATTTGTGTTTCCATTTTCCTTATAATTTCCTGTGTATTTAGTTAAAATAAGGCTAACAGAGATAAAAGATCCATAATGATTATGTCCAAAATGTCTGTTGTTTGCTGCAACCTAAATAAATGTTCTTGTCCTCTATCCATACATCTCGTTGTTATTGGTTGATATTGGAAATTAAAGGTAGCTGTGCTTATCAAATTATCATCAAGACAGCATGATGAAGCTGACAGAGGCAGTTGTTTAACAGATCAATTCTGCCATCTAGTGGGGAAATTACAGTTTGGACGAGCATAGTGTGTCATTGAGGGAGTTACCTTGTCTGACTGGAGCACCCACCTCTTGGGGCACAGGAGACTGCCTCCCTGTCAGTCATCTCATGCATTTGCATTAGCCTAGGGGGGGAGTGGGAGCAGGACAGCTTACCGAAAAGTTTTCAGAAGCCTTCTTGCAGATGTGCTGGCAGCATCCTTTTCTGAGTACACCGGTCACATGTCACGCCACTAAAATGCACAGTCTACTCACAAGTTTGCACAAGTTGTGGGCCTTCTTCATGTACTGTTTGGAAAATAAACCTTTTAATAGTGTTCGGAGATTTTCCCATCAAGAGTCACATTATTACATGTTACTTAATTATGTTATACGATTGGTTTAAGCACCAACTGCTCTTTAATCAGTATTAAAATACATTTTAACATTAAGTTAGCCATGGCTTACATGACACTTCAGTGAGACACTGTTGTAGTTTGATGAAATAAATATGAACAACAATGTTGGAATACTGTGAAGTCAATTTATTGATTTATGAGAACTGGCATATTTGAGCACATTAACTTGATTAAGCATAGCAGGAAATGAAACAGCATAGCCACACAAAAAATACAATAGTAAACATTTGCTAAGTGGCTAAGCACATAATCTACATCAATATTCTCAAAGCTGTTCTTCTGTGGTTCCCCTTAAGTCACGATTAAAAGGAGCATTAGGATGCTGCATATGTTGAGGCAAGTAAAAGTAATTATCATTTCTTTGCTTTTTCAGAGATAATATTCCCAACATGGCTACAGTTGATAACAGAAGGTTCAATATCTCTCAAACATTATCTAAAATGAGCATTTCTATAGCACAAATTATTTAGTTCCAAATCTCTGAGGCCACAACCTGATTTTTGCTAATAGAAACTTTCAGTGATGTTTGGGATGGCTTCTGTGGTACTGGAGAAAGAGCCACTTCCGTCGTTAAATGTAGGGTTTACGCTTTTCTTCTGAGTTTCACCTGCAGCAGAGCCAGGCTTGGACATCTTCTTCAGCTTTGAACTATAAAGAAGAGAAAAGTTTTCACTCACAAAAACAAGCATGTTCACACGGTCTAAACTGAAACTGAATAATATTTAAAAGTGAGCGGGAGTGTCATACCTGAGTAATTCCAGAATATTCCTCACCCACGCATCCTTCCGAGTTGCACATATTTCGTACTTCTTAGACGTGTAGAAACTACAACATTGAGACATTGACACATAATTTGGCACAGTTAGAGAGCACTATATTGAAGTTCAGTGTATGAGTGGATAGTATAGGTATAATATTTTGATAGTGGTGCCTATTTGATACCCGAGTTCCAGTAACAATACCAAAACAATGCTTTTTTGATGACTGATTTTGAGGAATACAATGACAAAAACATTTCTTCTTTTAACAGAATGAGCCAAGTTTATCAAATGCATCAGTGTTTCATGTTGTCTTACACAAACAAAATGTAGCCTTAAATTATTCTAAAATTATGTGATTTATGTAATGAAATATCTGATAAAAAAGAGAGCAGGACTAAGTGTCTGACCAAGTATTCAGTGCTTCAATCAGTACTTGACACTAATTGACACAAAAGTAGAGTTGAGATTTGATACACGGCTCTATTGAGTAATTGGATTTTGTCAATCTTAAAGACTTGACAGCTTGCGTACAAGTAAGTTGTAAACATAATTAATTGAGATATGGAGCAGACTAAACAGATGGCTGTTCAGAGTTATGAAATCAAGACAGTTTTGAGAGTAAGATTTTGTGGTGGACTAGATCAAATGGCTTATTTTATGGCAAGAAATTCTGCAGAAACAACATGCTTTTCACTAAACACATTTTAATTAACGGAATCAGTTAGTCTTCATGAGCCCTCTCATAAAGGTTTGATATGTTATGACAATAGTATTCAAATAGCTCAGACTGGGACTGGCAGGATTGGAGTTTTATGGTTCTATAGTAAAGACTCTTACATGATCGCTTCCATGCGGCAGTTTTCCTTGGTGGTTTGTTCTCTGTAGCCCTTTATACGATCGAAGGGTATTGGCTTCCTATTGTATCTCATACAACAGGCTTTGCCCATGCGAGGACCTATTTCACCCACACAAACACACACACACACACACACACACACACACACATTATTAACCGATTACCTGATGTAATTTCTACTGTATTTTAATCTTCAAGTCAAATCTGATCAAATAAACTTACGGGCAGCTGGGGCTGGAATGATGAGGCTCAGTATGATGCAGAGGAGAGCGGTTGTCACAGTGAACATACCTGTCGGAGTCATGTTGACAGTGCGAAGAAGAGGCAGAGAGCAATAGATATATCTGCAGTTATATATATACTTATGGTGCTTTTTTTTTTGGTAACCTGTGGCTCCCAAATTGAGGACAGGAAGCCCACTATTGCATCATGGCAGCTGAAGTTGCAGACATTGCACTTTGATCACAAATTAAGTCTCTACTGTACCATTTTGCAACACCTACATTTATTTATGTGGGCACATGGGCCTCTGGAACTGGTGCACTGATGCTTTCGGTTCATGTTGTCTCCTTGGGCTCTCATCTATATTTATGCTTTCTGGGTTAATAATCATGCTACAGCACAGCAGATTCTAATCGTTACACATTCTTCGCTTCATTTAGATTTCTCCGAAGCTACAGTATTTTGCCGCATATTTAGCTCTCAGTGCATGTGCATGCATAATTAGGTTTAAATGGAATTTGTTACACAAAATATCACCTTTACTTGCTCATATTTTCTAGTGTTGACACTAGAAAATATGAGACGACTGTAATATTAATTGTCATAATTTGACATTGTAGTTTAAAGTTGGAGTCCGGGTGTTTCACATGATCAGCAATCTTGAGATTGTTTTTTGGTGAGAACTGATGGAGTATGAGAGGCTTGTCAAACCCCCCCTCCTCGTTAGCATGACCTATTTAGTCTGCAGAAAGCTGACAACTCCAAATCTAGCTCAGCTGACCTAGATAGGCACAACATCTTCAAGTTGTAAACTCTCTATAGCGTAGTGTACATCTCAAAAACTACACGTACAAGCTGTAAATGACTAATAAAATAAGGTGAAAGCAACATGAATGAATTCATGAATGCTGTACAGTCAACACAAGGTTTCTGTTACGCCATTTACGCTACACACAGCATGTGGTTTGATTTTACCAGGCGATAAGAAAAGACTGAAACTAAACTTTGGCAACTCATTTTCTTTGTACAATATAGTGAATATTGAGTTTTGAGAAATAGAGTGTGAAGGTCACTAACATATTAACGCCCCTGTAGCTGACGGGGATTCAGTGTGTCTTGCTCAGGGGCACTTCAGAAATGCAGATGCTTGCTGTCATAGTATGGAGGCCGTGCTACCTCCATGAGTCTCCCAAATCTCCCCACATGCACTGTAGCTGTGATTACTAGGTGTGTATATGCCAGAAATTAGTTGTTTTTTCTTCTCCTGCTCCCACAGATATTAACTGAGAGGATATTGTTAAGAATGTGTGTCTATGAGAATAACACACCCTGGTATTTCTTTTGTTTTGCCAGATTAGAATATTTAAGTCTTCAGTATTGTTATTAAGCCTATACCGTTGCACTTCAGTAATGTTTTTGTCTGTTAGTGCCTAGACACCACCTTGTCTGATCTGTTAAGCTAAAATTAGCTTTGACTGTCCTGAGCTTTGACATTTTGTGACAGTTTCAGAAATCATGACTCATTGTGTTCTTCGCGATGAGTTGCCCAACTTGTGCCCTCCTTCAAACACTCCTCTGTCCTCCCACTTGGCAGTCAGGCCCACACGTCTTGATGAACAGCAGTTTTTGCTACCTTTACCCATAGGGGGGCAGTGTTGGTATGGGCCACTGATGGATGTCAAGCAACACATGATAAATGGATGTGAAGTGAATGTCCCACACAACCTGAATATCTCAAACTGTAGAGTAAGATGGTGTCAGCACTGCTATACAACAAGTCATTCAGCAACAGAGAAGCAGTAAATATAACAGAAAAAAGTGACACTTTGGGAGTCACCCAAACATTCTTCCCCTCAACTAATACGATTTCATTTCACAAGATCAGGGGCAGTTTATATCCGGGCTTATAATTCATCCTCTTTCTGTGTGTTTGTGCATATGTTTGTGTGACCTATTGCGACTACTGATAAAGGGAAAAGTAACGTGATAAACCGGACAATCATCTGATTTGACAGCCTAATCCCCACTAATCCTCCGTAAAACACAGCCTCTTATCGTCATCCTGTCTTCCTGGATGAAACACACAGACACACGCTCTCCTGTTAGGTTACAACTCTACTTTGAACAATTATTCTCATTATTGATTCATTTATGGTTTGTTTGTTTTATACAATGAATTGTTTTAGAGCTGATGAATAGATGGCCAGACTATTAAATAAGAATTAACATAATTTTAAATAGTTTTGATCATCTATTAATCCTTTATGTTATTTTTAAGCATATTCCAGAAATTCCGTTTCAGCTTCTTAAATTTGAAGATTTGCTGCTTTTCTTTGTTTTATATTACTGAATATTGAATATTTTTTGGACTGTTGGTCCAGAGTAGCACGTTTTAAAATGTCATCTGGGAAAATAATTGTCAGATTAAACAATGAAGAAAATAGTCATTAGTTGCAGCCATAAGTCATTCAGTCCAAAATATGTTCTATGTGAAAAATGTATATCAAGTTACCTCAGTTATTCAGTTTTCAATGCTTTGTAAAAGAGAAAAACAGCAAATACAGCAAATACTCTGAGAAGCCATTTACAGAAAAATTGCATTAGTTTAATTTCAGAAATGAGTTAAAGCAATAA